ACAGTCCATGGCAATAACTCAATCACAATCAAATGTGGCGAGGAGCGAAAACTGCAGCGTGTTCAGCATGTGGCTATCACGTTCATCCCCAGTATACGGTATATGTGGTACCAAGACCGATGTTGACAACCGGGGCTGTTTACCCTGTTGTATCATCGGTTTAGAGTTGAATTTAATCTGACGCACCGGATATTGTATCCGGGTCACTTCTCCATGCTGCGACCACTGCCTCATGTGCGCGCACCTAGCAGCACTCGTGGACACCGGTACAAGCTCGTGATGCCGAACCTAAGGCAGATGGCTCACCCTCTATGCTTCGAGCGCCTAGTTGTGAGATATTGGAACAGTTTACCTGCGAAAATTGTCGAAACAACATTGCTGTCGGAATTCAAACACTTTGCGGATTTTAAATTCAGGGTACACATCGCCCCCGAATAGCTTATAGTGCAAATATACTATGCAGCAAACGCGCAGCAATCAGTGATATAAGTAAAATAACATAAAATGCATATTCTCGATTTGCACGACACAATAAAGAAGGCATGATCAGTTGTACAGTCGGGTATGCGAAAATTGCTGTTTAATCAAATATTAATATTGGCAAGTGTAGGTGATGAGGTTTGTGAGATCCATGACATGAGACTTGGTTGTGGTAACTGTTTGCATGTTTGTTGCGGGCCCGTCAAAAATCCCCGCAAAAACGCGCCAGTAACTCCGGCATAATGGCTGTGGGAAGCGGAGTCCAATTTCTCCCCACAACGCAGCAGTGTTCAGCCACTCCGAGGAGCGTCCCAACTGCGAACCTTTTGACAATGGTCATTTGCAATCTACCACATCTGCGTGGTGACTTTTTTCCTAACTTAATAACCCATAGCACTGGCTGTGATCGCCCTTTGTCGGTCGTAAAAGAGCCTACAGAGGACCACTTGCCTTTTCTTTCTCTTCGCCTCAGTTGGGAGTAGGCCGGGTCACGTAATTGCGTGTGAGTCGTTAGCTGGCCAGCCTTCGCGTCTAAGTCATTAGCGCGCGTCTATCGAACCCCCCTCTCGTGTGCGCCCGTTCCGAGGGGTCAGCGTCTATCCGAACACTTGCGGCTAGGATCGGTCACACGCTCGCTCAATTTTCCGTCTCACCGGCTAAGCTAGCGTTCTCAGGTCAGCGCAACTCCGTTCGATTGGCCAGCGTTACAAGTCGTCATCGTAGGCGTGCTCCAATCGGGCCAGCGACAATCTTATCAGGCGTTACTCAATCATAACAGTGGCAACCCAATTATAACAGTGGCGACAGAGTTGGCGAACCATGATTGACGAATATGCCGATTTAAAATTGATGCTGCAACAACAGCTTAAATTGATGTCCGCGCTAACCGAAACACTTTCCAGTTCTTCCCTTCATGCAGGTCCGAGCGCCAGTTCTCAGTCAATGGACCATGTGGTTAGCGGCATCAGCGAATTCCTGTACGACGCCAAGGCCGGGGTAACGTTCGAATCCTGGTACAAGCGGTACGAGGACCTGTTCACCGTTGACTTGGCGTGCCAGGACGACGCGTGGAAGGTCCGCCTGCCTCTGCGCAAATTTGGTACCCTCGAACACCAGCGCTACACCAATTTCATCTTGCCGAGGAACCCACGCGACGTTACCTTTGACGACACGGTCCGAACGTTGTCACAGAATTTTGGCGAGCAGTCCTCTCTGTTCAATGCTCGTTACCAATGTCTGCAGCGGGTCAAACGTGATGCCGACGACTTCATCACGTACGCGGGCGTGGTGAACCGTGAATACCAACGTTTTCAACTTGGCTCGCTCACCGAGGACCAATTCAAGTGCCTGATCTTCGTCTCTGGCCTCCAATCTCCACACGATGCCGATATCCGGACGCGCCTCCTGTCCAAGCTACAACAGGATGGCTCAGTCACACTCCAGAACCTGGCCGAGGAGTGTCAAACGCTGCTCAACCTGAAGCACGATTCTGCCATGATCCAGAACGCCGCCGCACCTGGTATGGTCCAGGCAGTCACAGCACCTAGGGCGCAATCGTCCGCGCGCCCCACCCAATCCGACCGAGCGAAGTCCCCACCCTACGCGTGCCGATTCTGTGGTGCCTGGCATTTCCACCGCGACTGCAAGTTCCGCCAGCATCGTTGTCAACGTTGTGGCAGGGTGGGGCACCGGGATGGTTACTGCCATCCTCCATCTCCCAAGGGGGCCAAAACTGGGCTGGCTCCCACCCGCGATCCAAAGAAGAGGTCCCGACCCAGACGCACACCCAAACCTGGTCCGGTTGGCAGCTCCCTGAGCCTGCTGGCCACGTTCCAAATCAACGCTGCGGATCGGAGAAAGTTCGTCGACGTCCTGATCAACGGTCAGTCGGTCCGATTGCAGTTGGACACTGCGTCGGACAACACAATCATCTCCGAGGATCTCTGGCGATCCCTTGGCAAGCCACCTTTCGAACCGACCTCCCAATCTGCCACCAGCGCCTGTAGTGGCCGCGTGCAGCTAACTGGGCAGCTGCACTGCTCCGTCTCCTTCCTGGGCGCCACATTCAACGCGGTCTGCTACATCACAAAGGCGAAGCTCAACATCCTTGGTCTCGACTGGTTCGAAACCCTTGGCTTGGCCGATCTTCCTCTTCGGGCCATATGCAACGGGGTACATTCCCCGACAGTACCAAACGACCGAACCGACGACAAAGCCAATCAGTCCGCCCCCGTATTCCAGGATTGTCAACAAGCATCCAAGATGCCACCACACCATTCACCGGTTCCTTGGCATCCGCCAGCAAAACCGTGGTCTCGAGTACACATCGATTACGCTGGTCCCATCGATGGCATTTCCTATCTGGTCGTGGTCCACGCCTATTCCAACTGGCCAGAAGTGGTCGCCGTCAACCCACCTACCGCATCCGCCACTCTGACTTGTCTCCAAAGAATCTTCAGTCAACATGGCCTTCCCGAGGTCTTGGTGTCCGAAAATGGTACCCAGTTCACGTCTTCTATCTTCGAAGACTTTTGCCGCCAACACTGCATCGAACACCTCCGCTCACCGCCTTACCATCCCCAATCCAATGGTCAAGTGGAGCGGTGTGTCGACACATTCAAGAGGGCGCTTTTGAAATCTCACGGGGAGGGGACCGTGGATGAGTGTCTTCAAGCCTTCCTGCTCTCGTACCGGTCCACACCGAATCCAGCTACGCCAGGATGCCAGTCACCAGCTGAAGCATTGATGGGCCGCAAGCTACGCACAACAAACGATGCGCTCATTCCGACTGAGAAGCCACCTAGTCACTCTGGTGCCAGCAACAAGCATAAAGAATTCGTCGTTGGAGCCCCGGTCTACGCTCGCGATTTTCGAGTTGGTCATCCCCGCTGGATCAAAGCAACAGTGACGGCTAGGCGAGGTGACATGCTGCATGATGTCTCCGTAGGTGGTGACCCCTGGGTTCGCCATCGCAATCAACTTCGTCAGTGCCACGAAGCAACCTCCATGCCAGCCAGCTATCCCGTGCGCCTGCCACTGCACATACTGCTGGATACATTCGGATTGGCCACACAACGACAGACCACGGTCGAAGCCGCTCAGTCGCCGCCGCATCTCGAGAACCCACCTTGCCGACGAACAGAAAGAATGCGGAGGTCACCAAAATACCTCCAGGTCAATCCTCGCCAGAAGCGGTACGCTCTCTCTTCAAAGGGAGGTGCTGCGGGCCCGTCAAAAATCCCCGCAAAAACGCGCCAGTAACTCCGGCATAATGGCTGTGGGAAGCGGAGTCCAATTTCTCCCCACAACGCAGCAGTGTTCAGCCACTCCGAGGAGCGTCCCAACTGCGAACCTTTTGACAATGGTCATTTGCAATCTACCACATCTGCGTGGTGACTTTTTTCCTAACTTAATAACCCATAGCACTGGCTGTGATCGCCCTTTGTCGGTCGTAAAAGAGCCTACAGAGGACCACTTGCCTTTTCTTTCTCTTCGCCTCAGTTGGGAGTAGGCCGGGTCACGTAATTGCGTGTGAGTCGTTAGCTGGCCAGCCTTCGCGTCTAAGTCATTAGCGCGCGTTTAACGTACCCCCCTCTCGTGTGCGCCCGTTCCGAGGGGTCAGCGTCTATCCGAACACTTGCGGCCAGGATCGGTCACACGCTCGCTCAATTTTCCGTCTCACCGGCTAAGCTAGCGTTCTCAGGTCAGCGCAACTCCGTTCGATTGGCCAGCGTTACAAGTCGTCATCGTAGGCGTGCTCCAATCGGGCCAGCGACAATCTTACCAGGCGTTACGCAATCCATATCGAGAGGCGGCGTTCACTCAATTATAACAATGTTGAAATAACAAACTGTTTTGCGATGCACGTGCCCGAAATATCTACGATAGATTAACACGGACGAATGTCTACTGTCTCTCTATTTTCAATACTAGCTATTCAGTAGAACTAAATTAATACTCCCTACACCTACATGAGGGACGGATTAGGGATTGACGACATCCGCCCTTGGTGTACCTTCCACGAGCTCCTGCTACGAAACTTGTAACACTTCTGTACTGCTTTTTCTCACCTCGAATAGTGCTGAAACGTTTACAATCAACTTACCCCGGTCGGCTAACGCCACAACATCTGCGCGGTGGTGATCTGTCCAATGCACCAATTGGGCTCGAGTTGTCAAGACTTTGCTTTCACTGTGGGCCATGGTTTGTTGCTTGTTACTTCCGGATATGGGGCCTAAAGGTTTCGAGCACCCTAGGTTCAGAATGCTATCATGCACAACCTAGAACTACCATTCTTCATGAACATGAAATTTTCATGATAACCCTTGGTTACTGTTCTATTCCGCTTTTTCATTATTCCATTTCATTATTTTTTCATTTTTCATTTTTTCTTTCTATGTACCTATATTAGCAATGTTGTTATCACATACTGTCTTAGGTGTTATAACCCTGAAATTGCATTTGTCCATACTTGTGCTTAGTCTTGTCCTAAATTCTTTCCTCGTTTGTCTTCCCCATAGTGTACAAAATTTGGCGTGGTCCGCTACACGAAGAAGCCGCAGCTGATGTTGAATGGGTTTATCGCCCGTACATGTCAACTACCTATAAACGCCACTTTTTGTCTGAATAATACTTATTGCCTTTTGCATTTCTTCGGGTTTTTTCTGGTGTATTGGGAACTACATGTGACATTCCTCATCCTCACGGCTGGAACATTTCTTATGAATTTTACTGGAGCCGTTTATTGCACACATTTATCCCAGGATTCTGTTCAGCAGCGTTGTATTGTTGCCGGTTAACCACCAGGTTTCCTGTGTGTCCAGGTTTCCTGTGTGTTCTGTAAAAACCGGGAGTATTTGGATAATCAACAGCTATTTATTATGGCCGGTCGAAATATTTGTATGTTTGGCATTTTGTGCGTTGCTTTCCCCACCGAACTTCCCGCCGCCAATTGTCGTCTCACTGCGAGACCCCGCAGTCCTTTTAATACCCTTTTGATGGAGACTCCTAAGTAAATCTCGGTTCTTCCTACTACTCCCGTATTACTTGGATATCGACTTATAGGTTAGAGATTTGATCTCTTTTTGCGTGATCAGTTACAGCTTTTCATCAGCACACTAAATCCAGTCGCCAGTGACTTTTTCTTACTTTTCCTCCCTTTCGGATTGTGTTTTCTGGTGCTGAGCAGCACCAGACATGAATGATAAGCTATGTCTGTAGTTCTGATTGCCCTGTCACGTTTTTCCTTTCCCAATCTTCGCAAATTGTTGATTCGGTCAGCAGGCGACACTTGATATGATTTCACGCTCCCTCGTATCCGATGCGTGTTTTGTGTTTCGAATACAAACATACTGGTGTATCTGCACCCACCCCGTTCGAGTTCCCAAGATGGAGCACACGCACTTTGAGTCCCCGGCAATACTAACCGCATTTACAACATTAGTGTGTCATCCAATAGATGTGTATAGACTGCTACTCTAGCTTGGCTGTCAGCGAACAACTGAATTCTCACTATTCGACTTCGAAATTCCATCGGTGTTGATATATAGCTGTCGAAACCAATGCACGACTTTATCGTTTCGTTCAATGATACCGGAATTAATCAAAGATGAGTTATTTCTCGGGCCTTGGAGTACCCGTCTTGTGTCTGAATTGCGACACGCAATCTCGATTGACGCTATAGTTTGCTTTGAACCATACCTATGTCGTTTTGATCATTGGGACTGCATTCGAAGTGGACAGTCTAGGAGCTGCTTTCTCGCAACACTGCACTCCACGACCGACCGGTTTCACTTATCTGCATAGCTGTATCACTTCCGGCGGTTACACTGTCGATGAGGTTAGTACAGACCCTGCTGACGCAAGTTGTGATTGAAGGAAAACTTTAGAACAGTGTAGTGCGACCAGTGTTATTACACAGCTTAGAGAACTGTACGCGGCGGAGTGAAGACCTTAGAAGATTATCCGCTTTTGATTACCGATACTTGCGAAGTATTGCTGATATAAATGTTAGGAGAACTGGGTGGGAGTTTGACAACAAAACCTCCAGTGACCCGTTGAACTCGAATCCCCTTCGTTAGCTCAGTACTGTTCTCAGTGTCTGCAGACCGGTTGAACGGGTGTACATTGTCTACGAATGCTTCGCGTAGTTGAGCGCACCAACTGCCTTTGCTTCCCGGTGTGATCCCACGATTTTCGCATCCCCTTGGAGATTCGCAGATCGGTATACTGCGGTCTTTGCTCGGGAGACCTCTTTACCACAGGTTGAATTAGTTTCAAGAGTCCGAGATTATTTTTGCTTAGCTGAATTTAGCATAACGGAGACTCAGGTCTTCGAGCTACTGCAAGGCATTATTCCCTCTAAAGTCCCGGTCCTGATTCAATTCATCCGAAGTTGTTGCATGAATTGGCCACTGAGATGAGTGGTCCGCTCACGTGCGTGTTTTCAATATCGCTGGACAGCTGCATCCTACCTTCGGAATGGAAGGAGGCAATCATCTGTCCGATTTTTAAAGGCGAGGACAGCGCTCTACGCGCGAACTACCGGCCTGTCAGTTTGACAGACGTAGTAGTCAAGTTGTTCGAGAAGCTGATAAGGGATTCAGTGGAGAACCACCTGAATCGATTCAACCTTCTCAGTGTTGCACAACATGGATTCCGCAAAGGATTTTCATGTCAGACTAATTTACTTGTAGCTCGTGAAAGCTGGGCCGAAGCGGTAGACAGTGGCCACGCTGTAGACGTGCTATTCGTAGATTTTTCGAAAGCTTTTGACACTGTTCCACATCTTCGGCTTTCACTAAAGTTGATATCTTACGGGATATCTAGTCGCGCCCTTCAATGGGTGTCTGCCTTCCTTGAGGGGAGGGAACAGTGCGTACGGGTGGGGCGTAGCCTTTCGCTCAGGCAAGCTGTCCTTAGTGGCGTTCCGCAGGGCTCGGTATTGGGGCCATTGTTGTTCGCGATCTATGTAAATGACTTGCCGGGAGAGCTAGGGGTGTCATCATTAATGTTTGCTGACGACCTTAAGCTCTGGAATATTGTGGATATCCCGGGGGGTCCTGAGGCAATTCAGCGTGCCTTGGATAGACTCTGGGAATGGTCTATCTTATAGTTGATGCCCATAAATAGGGCGAAGTGCTCTGTTCTCCGAATCGGAGCTGCTAATCCTCCCACCCGATATGTTCTCGGCGGTGGTGAACTCCCTGTTGTCACTCAGCAGGTTGATTTAGAAGTCGTACACGCATCAGCACTTCATTCTGGCGACAACTGGAAGAAGGCTGCTTGTCGAGGGTTTCGTATGATGTGGTTTATCCGCCGCTCTTTCGGAATCTTAACGGCCAAGTTGTTTGTGAAGCTATTTTCGGCGTTCGTCCGACCCCACCTGGAATATTGTATTCAGGCTTGTCCACCATGTGTTAACCGAGACAAAATGGACTTGGAGAGGGTGTTACGAGTGGGCACTCGGTTAGTGCAGGGTCTACGGGGACAGACGTATCCTGAACGCTTGCTCAATTTGGGTATGTACTCCATGCACTACCGAAGGATAAGAGGGGACCTGATTCTCACTTATCGTATTTTGACGGGTAAGATTGGCCCGGACTTGTCAGGGCTATTTAGTCTCGCTACGTTACCTAATCTCCGCGGTCACCCACTGAAACTGCATAAACCACGGTCTGATAGGATTAGGACGGAAACTCGTCTCTCGCGCCGAGTTATAGATCGCTGGAATTCTCTTCCAGATCACGTGGTTAGGGAACCTACGGTTAAGGGTTTTGCGCGCCAGCTAGATGTTCTTGGGTGGCAACAGCAAACCTTTCCTTTTTCCTAGCTGACTCACCTTCATTTTTCAGTTCTGTTTTATTGACTCAAATATCTTGGTATTCCACTTGCTTAGCTCTTACTACTTTCTCTTTTGCCTCCTGCGTTTACTTTTTTCTCTTTCTTACTTCACGTAACCGACCCAGCAGGGACTGCTAAGGCAGGATACGTGGGCATTAATTGGTTGGACAGGGTGTGATGCGGTCTTTGTTTTAGGTCCATCAGTATTTCAAAGTTCGCCAACTCCTGGTTCAACGACCCGCCGAAGAAGGAACACTCACGGGATCTATCCTATCGTTCCAGTCCCGCTTGAACTTGAACTTGCGGACAGGTTAACTGTTCAAAGCCAGTAACAGATGTATCTGGCGGTATGCAGTGTGACGTCTGCTGCCGCTGGTATCACAAAAGCTGTACCGGCCTACAAGCTGATCAGTACAAAATGCTATCATCAAGCGTTCACTTTCTTTTCAGCTGTGCTGAATGCTGCGCTCAAAGCTCGACGCGCCCAGCTGTCACCGGTGCTAAACGTTCAGCGCTGGCTTCAAGGTTGGCAGATGTTGAGAAGGCGATAGCTAAACTCGCCTCTATTGCGTTGCTCCATACGAAAATGGATTTGCTTTTAAAATCCTTGAATATTTCGATTGAAGACACTGCAATAGCCGGCAACATTGCTGACGATCCATCCACTGGAGTCTGTCACTCGGTCATAAAGTCGCACATCCTACCGGCCAATCCAGGTAGCATTGCTGGCTGTCCACATGAACCGATCAAAGTGAAGAAAAATAGGGTGCAGAAATACCAAAAGCTCTCTGTTAAACCCAGAGAATTAGCTGCACGGCATCGAAAATATGCCGTCTTTGACAGTCGTAAAGTCGTCTGACGATTGTACACAGAACTTTCTAAAGATGCTGACTGTCTCGGCCGCCAGTGAACCAGCCCGTTCTGATGAAGTGCTGGTAACTTCTCAATGCGATACAAAGTCAACGACCCCTGCTCCAGTGAGCCAAGAGAAGAAGCGGACTAGATCTGTTCGTAAAACTTCGAAGGGGCTTGAAGACCCTGGAACCAGTAAGACGCCGGCAATAGAGCGGAAAACCTACGCTACCGTTGTTTCGGCGTCGTTTGTGAAGACAGGGACAGTCCCACCGCCAGTGGTGAAAACAGCTGGTATAGGTGTCGACTTCAATGCACGTGGGGTAAACACTCCCCGTCGTGCCGACTCTTTCACGGATAGTAGCGTTATATTCCGTAACGTTACTGAATCTGCGGTCGCTCTCCCAAGAGAACACATCTTGGATGACATCAAGTGGCTGAAACTGTGTTTTAACAAGCTGCTTCCACCTGACTCCCTGATGTCACTGTCAGAAAGCTGACCAGATTGGGGAACGTTCCTATCGCTACGCCAAATCCACGACCCCGACTACTTCGCGTAGTCCTTTCTACCCCGGAGGAACGCAAATCATTACTGCGGTTTGCGTTCAGACTTAAGGGTAGCGGTGTCAGCGTTCAGCCGGACCTACCACTGGCAGATCCATCGCAATGAGGCTGGACCTTAAAAGAAAAAATAGGTGTCAGCTTATACGCCGTAACGGCGCTTCGCTGCCGCGCGACCACCACCAGTCGCGCGCGGGCTGAGTATACCGCGAGGACGCCCACCCCTACGCGGATTCGAACCGGTGACCTTATGGTTGGAAAGCAAACGTGCCGACCACTCGGCCACCGGCCGATGGTTTGTGTGTCTCAGTGATCCATTGA